AGGGAGGATCAAGGACGAGATGATGATTTTACTAGCTTAGGTTGATTACTATTTAGGATGACTCGTTATTTGGATTTTCTTTTGTAAGACATTAACTAGTTTGGGTTTCTTTAAGATAGTATGCACAAGTTGAATTTTGTAAGACATTTAACAATTTGGTTTTGTAAGAGATATTGTTACATGCAACTTTTATTTTAAATCATGTCGAATTGAAAAAAAGTTATGTAGTTGATTTGGATTTATTTAAAATATCAAATTAAGTGGCATATTTACAGGGATTCATGAGAGAATAATGTATATATATAGATAAATTAGGAAGGTTTCGCGAGATATTAGCGAGGGATTCGCGAGGAAACTCAATCTATATGCTTTGATGGATTTGCGTGGGATTAGCGAGGGATTTGCGAAGGACATATTTGCGAGGGTTTAGCGAGGGATTTGCGGAAGACATATTTGAGAAGGTTTAGCGAGGGATTTGCGGAGGACATATTTGCGAGGGGTTAGCGAAGGACATATTTGCGAGGAATTTGCGAAGGACCTCAATTGATATATTGCTATAGCATTGCGAGGAATTAGCGAGCATATCGCGAGGGATAATTGCAACGGAGTGGCGAAAGATTAGCGAGGAAATAATTAAACAATATTTTGCGATGAAGTAGCGACAAAGTAGCGAAGGATATCTTGCGAAGGTTTTGCGAAGTTTTAGCGAGGAAATATTAAATGCAATTAGCGAGGGAATTTAGGTTCTACATTTGCGAGGCAATAGCAAAGAATTAGCGGCACAAAGTTGCGACGGACTAGCGACGCTGGTTGCGAGGGAAAAGCGAATGAATGTGGCGAGGGAATTGCGAGGGATATGCATTCGTTGCTAATTAGCGACTTGAATTTAGCGAGGGAATAGTCCTTCACAAATGCCTCTCTAGTCCCTCGCCATTTTGTTTAGCGAGGGATTTGCGAGGGATCTTTCCCTCTCTAATTTGCAATTTTCTTGTAGTGTTGGACAATTGATGGATAATTTCATCAATATGAAGTATGATGGGGTCGGTGGTGTTAGGCAATACATAATGAAAATGGTGACCCTTACCAATAAACTCAAAGACCTTAAGTGCCCCGTAGCGTATGCACAAGTTGAATTTTGTAAGACATTTAACAATTTGGTTTTGTAAGAGATATTGTTACATGCAACTTTTATTTTAAATCATGTCGAATTGAAAAAAAGTTATGTAGTTGATTTGGATTTATTTAAAATATCAAATTAAGTGGCATATTTACAGGGATTCATGAGAGAATAATGTATATATATAGATAAATTAGGAAGGTTTCGCGAGATATTAGCGAGGGATTCGCGAGGAAACTCAATCTATATGCTTTGATGGATTTGCGTGGGATTAGCGAGGGATTTGCGAAGGACATATTTGCGAGGGTTTAGCGAGGGATTTGCGGAAGACATATTTGAGAAGGTTTAGCGAGGGATTTGCGGAGGACATATTTGCTGGATGTTAAGACGAAAAGACCACTCTGGCCTTGTAAGTGACGAATTTAGAAATGGAGTTGATGATTTCATTCGAGTTGCCACAAGAAACCTGGAAATTATTGATGAAGTGGGACACATTCCTTGTCCATGTGCAAAATGTAGAAATCGTTACAGGGATGAAACATTTTGGGTCGAAAAACATTTGTATGACCATGGATTTATGGACGGTTATGTAAATTGGACTCGTCATGGTGAAGAAAGATGGGGGGATAGTACATCAACATTTGTTTCCCAAGATTGCTTTGAGGAGAATAGAAATCCTTACGTGGATATGGTTATGGATGCGGCTTGTGATAATCCAGAAGAAGAAATGGAGGAAGATCCAAATCCATCAGCTTCAAAGTTTTATAACTTACTAAGAGATGCTGACGAACAACTATGGGATGGTTGTAAGAAGCATACGAAATTGTCAGTTGTAACCCAATTCATAAATTTGAAGTCAGAGTTTAATATGAGTGTGAGTTGTTATGATCGAATGTTTGCCATAATCAAAAGCATGCTTCCAGAGTCGGAAAAGTTACCTGAAAATTATTACAAATCCAAGCAAATGGTTAGTGAGTTGGGATTAGGATATGAGAAGATAGATGCATATATTAATCATTGCATGTTGTATTATAAAGAAAATAGTGGTAAGGATGTTTGCTCAGTATGCGGACAATCACGATTTAAACCAAAGGCAAAACATTCTTCAAAATAGAAAGATGTCCCTTACTCAGTGTTGAGATATTTACCCATTATTCCAAGACTCCAACGTCTCTTTATGTCTAAAAATACTTCAAAATATATGCGTTGGCATGTCGATGGTATGCGTCAAGATGAATCAATTATGACACATCCAGCTGATGCTAATGCTTGGAAGAAATTTGACCATACCCATCCAACATTTGCACAAGAACCATGAAATGTTAGGCTTGGACTTTGCACAGATGGATTTAATCCATTTGGTAATTCAAGTACCTCATATTCCTGTTGGCCTGTTTTCCTCACACCATACAATCTTCCCCCAAGTATGTGTATGAAAAGGGAATATATATTTCTCAGTCTTGTGATTCCTGTACCAAAGTCTCCTGGTTGAAGTTTAGATGTGTATCTTAGGCCTCTAATTGATGAGTTGAAAATCTTATGGAACATTGGGGTTAACACTTTTGATGCATGTAGGAAGAAAAATTTCATTATGAAAGCAGCTTATTATGGACAATAAGTGACTTTCCAGCATTTGGAATGTTATCTGGTTGGAGCACTCATGGGAGACTTGCTTGCCCCTATTGTATGGAGCATAATAAATCATTTTATCTAAAACATGGAAGCAAATGTTGTTGGTTTGATTGTCTTCGTCAATTATTGCCCATTGATCATCAATTTCGTCGTGATCGACACTCTTTTAAGAAGTCAACAGTAGTAAAATCTTTACCTCCACAAGAATTTAATGGCATGGATGTCTTAAATATGGTGAATCAACTTCATTCTATTACTTTTGGCTTGAAGGCACCCAAACAACAACAACCTGGCTTTGGTACAAGGCATAATTGGGTGAAGAATAGCATATTCTGGGAATTACCTTATTAGTCCACTAATCTAATACGACACAATTTGGATGTCATGCATGTTGAAAAAATGTGTTTGTCAATATCTTCAACACTGTCATGGACATAAAGGGAAAGACGAAAGACAATGCAAATGCAAGAGCAGATTTGAAAGATATATGTAAACGCTCAAGTTTAGAGTTGATATTTGAGAATGAAATGTATAAAAAGCCAAAGGCGACATATGTCTTGAATGATAATCAAAGAAAGAAAGTGTGTGAGTGGATAAAACAATTAAAATTTCCAGATGGATATGCATCTAACATATCACGTTGCATTAATATAGATGAAGGAAAGATATATGGAATGAAAAGTCATGACTGTCATGTTTTTATGCAAAGACTAATTCCTTTGGCATTTCGTGATATGTTGCCAAAGCCAATATGGGGAGTATTAACAGAACTCAGCTTGTTTTTCAAAGAAATTTGTGCACATGAGATACGTACTTCTGTCATGGACAATGTTAAGGTTTCCATTATTGAAACAATTTGCAAGCTTGAAAAGATTTTCCCGCCAGCATTCTTTGATTCCATGGAACATTTAATTGTGCATCTCCCTTATGAAGCCAAGGTTGGAGGACCAGTGCAGTACAGATGGATGTATCCATTTGAGAGGTGCATGTTGTACTTGAAAAAGAAGGTTCGAAATAAAGCAAGGGTTGAAGGATCCATTTGTGAAGCTTATATTGTGGAAGAAATTTCTAATTTTGCTTCTATGTACTTTGATCCAACTATACAAACAAGACACACTCAAGTTCCTCGAAATGATGATGGTGGTGAAGATACCAATGGTGATGATAAGTTGTCTATTTTTAAATACCCATGTCATCCTATTGGCAAAGGTCAAAAAATAATATTAATAGATAAAGAGCTTGAAATTACTGAGACATATGTTCTTGTAAATTGTAAAGAAGTGGAACCTTATCTCCAGTAAGTTTGCTCCCTAATTTCTCAATTTTGGTAGTTTATAGTGAAATTAATTTTCTTATTAATTTTATTATATGTATTAGAAAATTTGAGGATTCGCTAAAGGAAACAAATCCCAATATTGATGAGGTTGAAATAGTGGAAACTCGTGATAAAAAATTCAGTAAATGGTTGAAACATCAAGTGAGTCAACTTACTCATAAATGTATATAATGTTCTTTTTAACGTTCATAATATATACTAAGTGATGCAACCATTTTTCTCTTTGAAATCATTTACAGGTAAGTACAAATCGGGTTGATGATCAAATGATTAAAGAGATAAGTTATGGTCCATCTAAATTTGCAACTTCTTTTAATGACTTAATAGTTAATGGATATAGATTTCATAATAAGGACTATGGACATAATAAAGCCACCATGAATAGTGGGGTATGCGTTCGGGGAAATATATATGATGAGAATGATTTAGACTATTATGGAATTGTTGATGAGATATTAAAATTATCATATCTTGGACATCAAAGAGTAATTATCCTACGCTGCCACTGGTTTGACCCAAATGGTGTCACTATTGATGAAAGATATGGGTTGGTTGATATCAAACATAAATCAAAGCTTCAATCAGATGAGCCATTTGTTTTAGCTGAACAAGCACAACAAGTTTACTACACAAGATACCCACAAAGTGGGGGTAGATCTAGTGATGAATGGTTGGCATCTTGCAAAGTTAGACCAAAACTTTTTATGGCTGAGACATTAAATGATGAATTTGGTGGATCAAATGAGCTAACTTATACTGATTATTATCAAGATGATGGATCCATAAGAGCACACCAAAGTGTTATACACGATGAGACGATACCATTGTTTGATGGAATTTCTCCAATGGAAGAAGTAAGCAACAATGATATACATCATCCAATGGACAACTTGCATCATGATCAGTTCATTGATTATATTGAAGATGATGAGATTGAAGATATTAACGAGTTCATAGATGATGAGGAATTATATGATTCAGAATCTAGTTATGATTAACAACTTGATTTTGAAAGGTGATGAATATATTCTAAAAGGTTTTAGTTTCAACACATTACACATAATTACTCATTTTTTAGTGTTAAAATAAGAAATAGATAAAAAGGTTTCTAATTGGTACTAGTATTGCCTTATTTGATTACTTGTAGTTCTTATGACTTTAATTTCCCATATAAATGATCACTTTTTGTTGTTTTAATTTTATGTAGGTAATCATTATGCCAACTACTCGAGGAAGAGGGCGTCGGGTTAATCAAGCCAATAATCCTCATCAGCTCACTCAAATTGCTTCGAATCCTCCACCACATGTTTCTCATCACTCACCTCGTACACTTTTAGAATAACATTTTAATTATTAACTCTATATTTATTTAAATGCAATGGATAAAATCTAACTTTTCTTTACTATGTTTGTCTAGGTGATGGATCTACTAGTTCATTAGCTAATGGTGGTGCTACATCAGCTAGTGGTGGACAATCATCTGATACCACCCCCTTGATTAATGGTGGTGAATCAAATACTATCCCAACATCTGATAATCAACAACCTACTATGGTGCCTTCAAGTGAAGATTCTAATGTAGAAGTTGATAGGAGGCAAATAATATCCGTGGAGGCAGTTTCTAAACCGTAAGTAAAATTGAATTTATGAATATGATTAATACTTTAAATTCATGTTATTGAACTATTTGTGGTTTGAATTGAATTATAGGAAGAGGTTTGCTCAACAATTTGTGACTTGTTATATCATTTATGAGGTAATGTCAAGGATGCCTTATGCTGCAGATTGTTGGAAAAGTTATTGCCCTGAAATGAAAGAAATGTTATTTAATGATTTTAAGGTAAGTAATTAATCTAATAGTATTATATATTATATCATTATATCAACAACTATTTTTTTTTACTTTAGTTGTATTATTGCAGGAAAATATCGTTTTGCATCAGAATATGATCGTGTGATGACGAGGGAAGTTTGGGAAAAAACATGCATGGATAGGTATTCTGATCAATTGTGTAAAGACAGGGATAAAGCAATAAAAGTAGCAAACTCAAGAAATCATGAGGATTTAAGGGCTCACAAGCCTAGAGGGATGAAAGTTGAAATATGGAATGGGTTGATTGACATTTGGAAGACACTAGAATGGCAAAAGAAATCTATTGCTGGAAGACAAAACAGGGCTGCCCAGCCTGAAGCAATGGTGCACATAGGAGGCTCAAGAAGCTTCGGGCAACACAAAAAAGCTATGGTAATCAAATCATATTGAAGTTTGTCAATAATTAATGAGTGATGTTTACTTCATTCCTATTGTAATATAATTGTTTTACTTAGATAATCCATGGTAAAAAGTTACTTGACTTTTAGATTTATTAATTTAGCTAATATTTGGAATTTGTTACAATTAAAATTGTGTTATTAATGATGTCTTAAAAATCTTTACCTATGGATTTTTTTAAGTGCAGTTTTTTTTTAATTCTTTAACAAGTTGTGAAAGTTGAAGGTTTTGAAAATTAATGAGTTTCTTTGGTAAATTTCATTACTTACAATTTGTACTGTAATCCTTTTACAGGAGGCACAACAGAATCGTCCTGTTTCTTATCGTGAAGTGTATAACAAAGTTCACAAAAAAATGATGGTGAATTTGTCTCAACTAGGGCAAAGAAATTTATTGTATGTTATTTCATATTTTAAGATTGATTATGTACTTTTTTAACCTCTTGCTATTTCACTTATTTTTTTTTGTTTATTATTTGTAGGAAACATGAAGAATCAATGACACAAAAATATGGAGAAGACACTTCATCTCATCCTGTAATTGATTCTGATCTTTGGTTAAAAGTTGCAGGTGAAAACAAGAAGAAAAGAGTGCATGGCATGGGACATAGCTTGGATCTTGGAACTAGTAGCTCTACCCAAGCTTCATCTCCAGATGTTGTAGGTTCCTCTACAAATCTTACGCCTATGACAGAAGAACGGGTCACTACAGTTATAAATAATGCATTGGCCTCTTTTTTGCAAACACAATTACCAGAGATGATGAGGTAAATAATTCAGGCAGTTCAACCATCAACAACACCATCAACCAACCAACAAAGGGAGGATCAAGGACGAGATGATGATTTTACTAGCTTAGGTTGATTACTATTTAGGATGACTCGTTATTTGGATTTTCTTTTGTAAGACATTAACTAGTTTGGGTTTCTTTAAGATAGTATGCACAAGTTGAATTTTGTAAGACATTTAACAATTTGGTTTTGTAAGAGATATTGTTACATGCAACTTTTATTTTAAATCATGTCGAATTGAAAAAAAGTTATGTAGTTGATTTGGATTTATTTAAAATATCAAATTAAGTGGCATATTTACAGGGATTCATGAGAGAATAATGTATATATATAGATAAATTAGGAAGGTTTCGCGAGATATTAGCGAGGGATTCGCGAGGAAACTCAATCTATATGCTTTGATGGATTTGCGTGGGATTAGCGAGGGATTTGCGAAGGACATATTTGCGAGGGTTTAGCGAGGGATTTGCGGAAGACATATTTGAGAAGGTTTAGCGAGGGATTTGCGGAGGACATATTTGCGAGGGGTTAGCGAAGGACATATTTGCGAGGAATTTGCGAAGGACCTCAATTGATATATTGCTATAGCATTGCGAGGAATTAGCGAGCATATCGCGAGGGATAATTGCAACGGAGTGGCGAAAGATTAGCGAGGAAATAATTAAACAATATTTTGCGATGAAGTAGCGACAAAGTAGCGAAGGATATCTTGCGAAGGTTTTGCGAAGTTTTAGCGAGGAAATATTAAATGCAATTAGCGAGGGAATTTAGGTTCTACATTTGCGAGGCAATAGCAAAGAATTAGCGGCACAAAGTTGCGACGGACTAGCGACGCTGGTTGCGAGGGAAAAGCGAATGAATGTGGCGAGGGAATTGCGAGGGATATGCATTCGTTGCTAATTAGCGACTTGAATTTAGCGAGGGAATAGTCCTTCACAAATGCCTCTCTAGTCCCTCGCCATTTTGTTTAGCGAGGGATTTGCGAGGGATCTTTCCCTCTCTAATTTGCAATTTTCTTGTAGTGTTGGACAATTGATGGATAATTTCATCAATATGAAGTATGATGGGGTCGGTGGTGTTAGGCAATACATAATGAAAATGGTGACCCTTACCAATAAACTCAAAGACCTTAAGTGCCCCGTAGCTGACAAATTCCTTGTTCATCATGCTCTCTACTCCTTACCTAGTAAGTTTAATGTCTTGAAAATTTCTTATAATACCCAGCTGAAAGAGGAGTGGGACCTAAACACCCTTATTCCAATTTATGCCCAAGAAGAAGATAGGATTGTGGACACCTAATTTTATCTAGGGGCACATAAACAAAGAAATGGACTTTTAGCATGAAGAAGTAGTTCTCGAAGGCCCGAAAACAACATTAGAGCAAGCTAACATGACATCCAAAGGCTCAAACGTAGAGGGCCATAATTAGAAGCCCAGAACGGGCTGTTTCCAAATCAGAATGGACTGTTCCAAGCTTAGAAAAAAGCCTGTAACCCTAGGTCAAAATGCCTCATTCTGACCTAGTTTATTACATGCAAATTTCAAATCTGGAACAGGCCGTTCTACTTTAGGAGACGTTCTAGTTTCAAATTTTGTATGTAATAGAAAGGTCCATAATGGCTCGTTCTGAATTTAGAATGGTCCATTCTGGTGGATTTTCATGCCTATAAATAGGAGGCCCGTGAACAGTGTAAGGGACTAGAAAATGGATCAAAAAATTGCCTACTAAAGTTCTGTACAGCTCGAAATTCTTTCTTTCTCCCTCATTTTCTATTTCTTGAGAGTTATGAGGCATATTGTAATGTGAAAGGTAGCCAAAAAGTGCCTTAAGACCATCATATTCAAAGTAGTTATAAAAGCTCATCCAAAGAGGTATTTTTCATCAAACTCCTTCCTTAATATCTACTTCTTCTATCGTAAATAAAACCAATCATGTAGACACCTTAAGGTTAATCGTGTAATTTAACTTCAAGCATGTAAATAATCATGAATAAAGAGAACTAAGATTTTAAATTATTATTCTCGATCGTGTTAATTTCATCATAAGGTACCGATTTAGGACGTCGTAGGGTTCCTAACACCTTCCCTA